AAATTCTTTTTCGCTCCATGTTGACAACACCTTGCGGTCACAACGCGGTCACAACGCGGTCACAACGCGGTCACAACGCGGTCACAACGCGGTCACAACGCAGTCACAACGCGGTCACAACACAACAAGACTTTCCAGAAGTGTCTCAAAAAGTGATACACTTCCAATTTCTGGGTAGGGCCATTGTTGAGTCATTGTTGGCTCATATTTGACTCATTATTGAAACAAACGAAATTCTTTTCGCTTCATTTTAACATCTTGCGGTCACAACGCGGTCACAACGCGGTCACAACGCGGTCACAACGCGGTCACAACGCTGCTAAAAGGGGTTGTAGTGACGTTGTAGTGACATTGTAGTGACCATGCAGCAAAACAGGCTGTAGTGACATTGTAGTGGCTTTTGGAATAAGTTACCATAAGCCCCCCCTATATTATATATTGTGATTACACCAACTCTGGCAAACCGTGGGATGTCTTCGACCATTTTCATGTGCAGAAAGCTGTGGCGAGGACATGTGAGCATGTGAACCTAGTAGCATGTGCTTAGCAGCAGCATGAAGCAGTTTTTGCATGTTTTCTTTGCACTACGATGATTTTGCGACACGTTTGAGAGTTTTGTACTGTGTACAAGTAGCAGCAAATGCACAAGTGCATTTGCAAGCGTGGAAGCAGTGCTGCAGCTTGAGGAAGCTGTTTTTGGCATGTGCTTAGGAAAGTCAGGCGCTTGCCGACTAACTTTTAACTTTGGCTCAAGACGAGCGGAAGAAGAGAAAGAACACGAGAGGCACGCAGCTTACCTGTCTTCTCTGCTGAGTGTGCCAAAAGCGACAGTCACGGCAGTCTGCTTGTCTGTGTTTTTAGGTTAAGAAGTTTTACAGATTGGGAATCATTGTTCGCGAAGCGACAAACTTGTCTTTTTGTTTTCATAGCAGCCACCTAAGCTGAGCAATGATTTCCAACTTTTTCCAACTTTGATTTTGAACTTCGACTTCCGTTTCTCTGTATGTGCTTGAAGCCTTGATGTACGCAGACATGGACAATGCTAGTGGTGAGCTATGCTAAAGTTTTTCACCCGCCTTCCCACCCTCGGAGTTTTTCTTTACCGACTTGGGGGGGTTAGACGTGTTGGAGCAGATCGGTAACACCTAAACAGCCAGTGCGCATCTCAACGCATACATTCTGGGTGCTCCAACCGAAGACCTTCGAATGAACTCTTACTCATCGAACGCCTTGCTTTTGATTGACCCCTGACCGTGGACCAAAAGAGGAAACGTTTCTGCTTGCAGACTTTTCTTTCTTTTAAAAAATGTGATACGCCACCCAGGGTGGCGGCATTCTCACTTCGCGATTTTGAAGCTTTTGTTGATTCTGCTTCTTTAACTGATGCACTTTTTGATGGCATCTTGTTTCGAGCTATAGACTCATCGAAGTGCGCAGAATTTTTGAAAACCCCACCCACCCACCCTGGGAAGGGGGGAAGGTCCGGACGTGCGGACTTGAGCTGGCGACATTTGAGCAGCGGTTTTTTTTTTTTTTTACGGCTCTTGAGAGATACTGATATGCAGAAATAACTCCGGGAACCGGGGCGCGAAAGTGCACGGGACTGTGGCCGCGCGGAAGCACGCGGAAGGGTTGCGGAAGCACATCTCCGCGGAAAAGACAGGATAGAAACAGTTATGGTTAAAGTGTTTGTTACATTCCTGGAGGCTAGCGGGCGCGTTGTTTTGTGTGGATTTCGGATGTCTGGTTCAGAGTGGGTTATACAGAATTTCCGTGGTGTTTTCTGGGAAGTTTGAGGTTGCAGCCTTTCGTACGAAAGCAGTGGACCCAGTTCAGAACAAGGCTTGTCTAGAGACCCCAAGCTTCCTACACAAAGATTTAAAAAGCCCTAAACCCATGTAAACTGTCAACCCAAAAGCAAACAAGTCGGATTCTCAGGCTTGAGCGTCCCAAAACCAGGCTTCGAGGTCTTCTTTCCGTGAAGTTTGACGCGAACTCGGCGGAAGCGCCGCGGAAGCTCTGCGGAAGCTCCGCGGAAGCTCCGTGGAAGCTCCGCGGAAGCCCGCATGCCCATCTGAACACCATGTAGACTCTGGCCACCGACCATGAATGCCTCTAAGGCGGGCGCTGCAAAACAGGTTGCGAAATCACGCACGGCCTTCTCAATCCACAACTTTCCAAGAAGTCCGCGCGTCAACCGAACCATCCGACACGTCTCCGAGTTTATATTTGCAGACTTACTCGCGGAAGCAAGTTTCCCAAAATGCGCGAAATCAGTCCGCGGAAGCGTCCGCGGAAGCAAAGGAAGCGGACGAGAGGACCGCGGAAGGGTTCCGCGGAAGGGTTCGTTATTTTCTAGAAAATCTTCTAGGAATAACAACCACGGCTCATTTGTGAATGTCCGTGCCAGTGTGTGCTCCCGAATGTTCGTGTGTACCCCTATGGAAGGTCGGGACGTGCGGACTTGAGCTGGCGACATTTGTGAATGTCCGTGCCAGTGTCTGCTCCCGAATGTTCGTATGTACCCGTGATCGCGTGTTTGCAAAAAGAGGGAATTGAATGGGCGAGTGAAGCATTGAATATCAGGCATCAAGATTTATCTCTTCAGACACACATCCTTATTTGTTGGAATTACAATTTGTATAAGTGAGAATGTCACATATTTTGAAAGAAGGGAGCATCCTCGTACAGAGTTTTGTGTGATCATGGGTTCTTGTCGCACTCTTAAAAAGGGATCTGGCGCGGGCGTCCTTTTAAGGTAGGTTGCTTCAGAAAGGGACGAAAAAGGACGTCCTGTTTATAGTACTCAATTGTGAAAACTTAAAGACGGTTAGGTTCCTTTGTTTCAGCTCACTGGACAACTTAGAGCACACCACGAAGCATGGGACTTGAAAGCTTTTACCTGAGTGTTAAGGGGAGCCCGTGTGGCGTGCTGTTTGTGGCCAGAGACCCTCCCAGCCACTTGTTAGCTCCCCCGAATCGGCAAGCAGAGGCAGGAATTATGTAAGCCCTAAGCCCTAAACCCTGGGAACCCTGAACCGGCCCCAACCTTTGTCAGATTGAGCTGTGGTCGGTCTGGGCTTCGGGGTCAAGGGTTTGCATACCCCTTCAGGCCCTAGAACCTGAAGCCCTGCACAACCCCTAAACTAAACCTTAAACCGGGCGGTGCATATTCTGATTTGATAGGAAAAACGGCTGCAAGCGGATGATCGCATTTAGGGTTTAGGGATTCGGGTTTAGGGTTTCGGGTTTTGGGTTTTGGGCTTAGGGTTTAGGGTTTAGGGTTTAGGGTTCGGGTTTCGGGTTTCGGGTTTGGTGTCACATCGCCTGATCAGCACAGGTTTTTTGTCGGCTCCGTTTGATGGGTGAGACGCCGATTGCTCAACTTCGACAATTCGCCAAAGGAGGTTCAGGGTTTAGAGTTTAGGGTGTACCGAATTTAGGGTTTAGGGTTTAGGGTTTAGAGTTTGGCGAATGTGGCATGGGGTGCATTGCATGGAGGGTGATGCTGACATGGTGTAGGGTTCAGGGCTTCGGGCAGGGAGTCCGGATGCACAAGGGCATAAAGCATTTAAATTCAGGGTTCAGGGCTATATGATAATTTGCATTTTGTTTATGATTATTGTGCTTTTTCAACCTTTTGCATCATGACAAAAAAGTATATATACACCTCTGAGGACTTCGGTCCGTTTTCCAAATGAATAGGCCCCCATATTGCTTCTACTAAGTCCTACACCTTAAGCCCTAAATGACATGTAGGTCCTGGGTTTGGCATGGAAGGGAATCATTGTGGGCACTTTGAGAACAGTTTCCGTTCAAGGAGCACTGGGTTGAATGGAGAAGCCCAAGGGCTCTACAGACGCCTTCATAGGGTTTTGGACCCTCAACCCTAAACTAACCCTATGACGTGATCATCAGTGCTTCGGGTTGTCGGGGGGGGTCACATCGGGCAGTCGCAATGCAGTAGCGAGAGCGGGAACGTAAAGACCTCTTTAATAAGGCAGCTTCTGCAAAATGGGCTCAATGACCATGTCAGGTAGTATTCAATGTGGAGTAAAAGGTCCTTGTTCATCTGCTCAGGTCATCACTCTGTGCACCCGCATGTGTTGCGTGCTTTTTCGGCTGGAACACAGAGCTTTTGTTTCTGCCGATTGTGTTTCGAGCCGCATTTCACCATTCAACGTGCAACATGAGAAAGCTGTACGTTGTATCATGGTGGTCTTAGAGTGTTCTACATGTGTTTGCAAAGCAATTCTGCCCAGTCACTACGATCAGCAAGTGACTTCAACACGATCCTAAAATTTCAGTGTCCGCTTTTGGCCCCATCATGTCGAGGCAGGGCATTGCTGCTGTTCCATGTTCTATCTCAGTCTGACTTTTTCATATTCTCTTGCTCTCATGCTCTCAGTCTCTTGTTCCCTCATTCTCTCATTCTCTCATTCTCTCATTCTCTCATTCTCTCATTCTCTCATTCTCTCATTCTCTCATTCTCTCATTCTCTCATTCTCTCATTCTCTCATTCTCTCATTCTCTCATTCTCTCATTCTCTCATTCTCTCATTCTCTCTTTCTCTGATTCTCCCATTCTCTCATTCGCTCATTCTCTCATTCTCTGATTCTCGCATTCTCTCATTCTCTCCTTTTCTCAGTCTCTCTATCTCGCTTTCTCTCTTTTTCTCTATTTGGCTTTCTTTCATTTTCTCTCATTATCTCTTTATCTGTTTCTCTCTTTCTCTGTTTCTTTCTTTCTCATTGTCTCAGAATCTTTTCGCTCTCTCTCTCTCTCTCGCTTTTTTTCCAAGCTGGCACCCACACCACATGCTCTCACTACACTCTCTCTCTCGCTCTTTCTCTTTGTGTGTGTGTGTGTGTTTCCTCTCATTCACTAGCTTTCGCTCATTCGCTCATTCGCTCATTCGCTCATTCGCCCACTCGCTCATTCGCTCATTCGCTCATTCGCTCACTCTCTGCGGGGTTTCTGGTCAGGTGACGGGAGCACTCATGTCATCGGACACCCATCTTTTGCAGGCTGGTGTCCACCCTTCGATGCTTGCCTAGTTTGCTTTTAAGGTCAAGTTCCATGCCAGGCTTGTGGGAAGCGCTGCGGTGTTGCGGGCACTGCCACGAAGATCTTGTATGTCGACCTGGTCAACCTGCAGTTCCAGGAGCAAAGATCACCAAAGATGACCAGAAGTTCACCAAAAGTTGCGTCAGTTCTTTTGTGTTAGGTCGCCTTGTCGCCTTGTCGTCTTGCCACCGGCTCAAGCTGTTTAGCTCTCGCACCAGGAAGAAGTGGAAGATGATGCTCTGGAAGATGCCGGAGCTTCACCTTCAGCTTCCGCAGCAGGCTGTTCTTGTCGATGTGTTTTGGGATGTGTTGTTTTTTTGGAATCCCTACATCTATTCAGGACCGAAGTTTGGTGCTTCCAGGAAGGCATACGTCTGTGTTGGGCAGCTGCGTCCCCAGCCAGAGTGTTCAGTCGACGGTCGCAGCCCATAAGGCCATAAGGCCATAGGGCCAAGAAACGAAACCGTACTTGCTCGAGGTCATGCATCTACCTGCTTCGATCGAGCATGCAGACGACCAAGACTGCATATGATCTTTTCGACACGGCAGAGCAGTGCGCAAAGGGCAACGAAGATCCGAGGTCCCACCGCTTGAAAGCCTTCAATGGTCAATTGGATTACGTCTGGCTGGAGAAGGTTGTGCAAGACACGAGCAGCAGGTGGGGCGGGGGGGAAACAAGAACTTAAGGCTCCTCAAGTGAACGAGGAAGTGCAGCTTGCTTGAGCGCAGCTTGTTGTTTGCTGGAGAACCCGGTTCCTCGTGGCCTTGAACGATAAGCGGCCCAAGGCTTCTCTTTGTTGTGTCTTTGTGTCTCTTTTCTGCTCAGCAGAAAAAACCCTTTCTCTCTCTTCTCTTCCTCTCTTCCTCTCTTCTTCTCTTCTTCTCTTCTTTTTGTGTTGGAGTGGAGGGTAGCTGGGCTCGCTCTCGGCAGGGCTCTCCGTCTCAGTTCATCATCGACACGGAGAACCGGGATGCCTTGTTGACCATGATATGCACGAACTACGTTTCCGCCAAGCGCCCGAGTGTATTGAGTAGCTCTGAGAAGCTCTGAATAGCTCTGAGAGCCATTTCGAAAGCCTTACCTACTGCTCTCTGAGGATTGCCTGCAAGAGTTGGGGAACTTGGAGTCCTTGGCCACCTTCCAGCACAGCCTGCAAACCAGCCCTGCGCCCAGCCGTGCTGGGCTCAGGGACACACACACACATCTCCATCTCCCTCTCTCTATTATTGTTATTATTATTATTACTACGTTTTTCCTCCCGCTCTCCCTCACTCACTCTCTCTCTCTCTCTTCCCCTCTCTTCCGCTCTCTTTCTGTCAGTGAATCATAGCACTCTCTCAGTTCGAAGTCTTTTCTCTCCAAGGAGTTGCCCCTCCAAAGGGCTTCAAGTCGGCGGAGTTTCGTGGTTACGCCTTCTTCATCAGGCTTCCTTTTGTTTGGAGCGGTGGCGTTGTTACTTGTGTTTTTTCCTCCATCTCTGCTTTGAGGCAAAGCTTCCAAGAGGTTCCGAGTGCAATTTCCAAAGTCGCCCGGCAAATACTGCGGCTCTTGGTGCCGTCGGGTTCCGTGTTGTTGCAGTCAGAGAGCATTGAGAGCATTTGCTGAGTTTGATTTTGCGCCCAAGGTTTCTACTGGGCATTTCAGCACCTCCATGGGGGAGTTGAACTTGGGAGACAGGCTTGGGCCACTTGGGGGCTCTCAGGAGAGAAGCTTACCCCCACTTTGGGCAGTTGACGATGGGCTTCTTTCGCCGGTTTCGCGCTGATACAGAGCATTCTCGTATCTTCTCTTCGCACTGTTGCCCCCCAGATCCCGGTTGGGAAGTTTCCTTTTGCAGGTCGTGGGGATGGTCACGGCAAGCAGGCCAGGGTGCCACAAGCTGTGGCTAGGTTACAGTCATCCACAGTCATCCACAGTCATCCACAGTCCATTCTGAGGCAATGTTGAGCTCTTCGTGAATGTGGTTGACCCGCGCGGGCCCTCAATCATGTGCCACGGGTCCCATGATAGGTCCCATCTGTACACCATCATGAGTCTCATGTGTTGAGGATCCCATTGTCCGAATTGATCCGCCTCGGCCGCGAGCATGTGCGCTGGGTGGCAATGGAATGCAAGGCCTCCTTGCTGAAGTGCCGCTCCAAGACATGAGCATATGCTGTCGACACTCAAAAGGCCGTGATCCCAGTAGCTCCTAGCTGCTAGGTCTTGGGACTCTGTGGTTCTGCAGAACCGTCCCTACACCAAGAAGATGTCAGGATCTCAAAGCCTCAGGGCATCTTGAGGCATCCTGTTAATTTTCTGATTCACTTGAGATGCTGAGGAACCTTGCAAATGCTGGGAGCTTAAGGCTTATAAGCGACTTCGGATGAGTTCTCGGCAATTCCCACATCTCCAACACATCTGCCACAGAATTTTCTGAGAAGTGCACAAAGAGTAGAGGACATTTCAGCATGGAGCTGTTGGCAGCTCGCAGTCCAGGACCGAACTCTGCGCTTATGCTTCTCGACTTCTCTCTTGAGATTCCTTGCTGAGACTCCTTGCGTATGTCCATCGTAGTCCATACGCTGCCGCTCCTTACCTGAAGGACAAAGAGGACAGTTGGGCCATCATTGTGCTGAGGCCGTACTGGGATGGAGACGATTTCGTGTTTCAGCTGCTTAAATCTTAGCCGTGTGGCTGCAAAGTTAAAACGGTTAGTCAGCCAAGTGAACATTTTGAAGCAACAACCCCCTGTTGAACGAGTGACACGCAGGGCGCGTGAGCACAAGCCCAGCCACCAACCAACAGCAGGTACCAATGCGATGGGCCAACACAGCCTAGTGCCACTGCAACGCTAATGTTCAGGCTTCCCGAGGGCTTCTGCCGCGTGCGATGAGTGTGCTCAGTTCGAAGGGCACTCATACTGATACGTCGACTGCTGCGCTGAATGCTGCGCTGAGCTCCCTAAGCCACTCGGGCCACAGATTGTTGGAGTACGTGTCTGAGCTCAGCAAGGCGGAGGTGGACACTTTGTACGCCGATGCTGCTTGTGCGCGAGTCATCTTCAGGGAAGCTGTGCCCCCGGTTGCGCAGCAGCTGATCATGAGGCTTGTGTTCGGAGGCGCGCGGCCCTTCCAGGAATCTGTCCTGAAGCGCTGGTGCGCTGCTGTGTCCTTGCCGCACACGGCTTACCTGAGCATCTTGCAGCAACTTCAGATCCTGGTGCCACAGAAAGCTGTCCAGAAGCCGGGACAGCCAGGTCCTGGACAGCTCCTGATGCTCCATAAAAGCTTTCAGAGTAGCCTCGCTGCCTTCTTGCAAGGAGAAGCCTGGCCTCACGGGCCTCACGGGCCTCACCATTCGGGTGAGGCCGAGGCTCCGCCCGGTGACGTGCTGATGCAGCATGCGGTCTCGTCGTGGGACGCTTTCTTGCAGCAACTGTTGGAGCCAGGCCTCCAGTCAGATCTAGCAGATCTCACATCCAAGCTGAATTTCAAGGATGAATCTGGGCTGACGGCGGCTGGCTTCGAATTTGTCCTGGACGAGCGCCAGCAGCAGCTGTGGTGCCTAGTGATCTCATATCTGAAGGCAGTTCGAGAAAACCAGAGCCCTCTAGGCCTGTTGCGCACCATTCTTGCCATGGGTGAGCTGGGCATTGGCAAGTGCCTTACGGGTGCGGAAGCGTTGGAGCAGCAGTTCCTTCGGTTCCTGGCAGAGCTCGGAGTCCTATATGAAGAGAGGGAGCACGCTGAGCACACTGAGAAAGCCCGCTTCTGGACCACGCCCGGTGCGCTGGCCTTGTTCCGAAGGGACATGAGCCAGAAACTGTCCCGGAGCATCGGTGGTGGTGCGGGCGAAGCGAGCGAAGAGCAAGGGCTCATTGTCGAGAGCAACTTCAAGGTTTATGGGTACACCTCGAGCCCACTCCATGCCTTGCTTCTCGGACACTTCTGTGAGATCTTGGTGCGTTTACCGAATCTTGTGGTGGGTCAGCTAACTGCGGAGTCTGTTCTCAAGGCGATGAGCCACGGCATCCGGGCAGCGCACATGCTCCGATACCTGGAGGCTGCCGCCCACCCACGTCAGCGGGCTCGGGAGGGCGAGGGCAGTTCCGTGCCCTCCAACGTGCGTGGCCAGCTCGAGGCTCGAAGAAAAGCCCCCTGCTGGGCTCGCTCGCTCCCTCTGCCTTTGTTTGTTTGTTTTTTTTTTTCAGGGCTGTCTTCTTTCTCGTCTTGCGCTCTTCATTCCTCTCCGTCTCGTGACATCTCCACACCTCTGCGCGCATCTTCGTGTGTCTCCGCTCGGAGGTCTGGGAGTCCAGTCGCTCTCGGGCAGCATTCTCCCCAGCGGTTCTCTTCGAGTGGCAGCCTGCAGACTCCGATGACACCTTCGATGCCGCAAAGCAGCTGGCCCAGGCTGCAGGAGCGGCGATCGCAGAGTTGCTGACCAATTCTGTAGGAGCTAAGACAGGGTTGTCCCAACCAAGCACCCTTGCGCACCCGAGGAGGTCTGCTTTGGTCCCGAGACAGGGACGCCGATCGAGCGCCGTTGATGGTGGTTCGGCCAGACGCTGCCACACAGGTTCGGGAGCTGCTCGGACTTGCACCCCCAAAGCCGGCAAAGCCGGCCAGACCGGCAGCGTTTGCGCATTCACTGAACTCATTGAACCCGAAGCGACTCAAACTGGAGCACGACCTGTGAAGCAGCGAATCCAGCTTCCGCCAATGCACTGTCCTACCCTACCAGAAGCCACGCTTCACATCGTCCCTTTCCTGATGTCCATGAAGTCGTGCAGAATCTGATCTTGCGGATCTACGGCAATTCGGGTCCATCGGTGGAAGTATCACACTGAGCTGTGGAGCTGCTCTCCAAGCATGTTGAGAACACGGAGAACACGTTGTAGCAGCCTGTAGCAGCAAAAGAAGCAGCAGAGGGCAGCGGTGCTCTGGCAGACCAAAATTCTCGGGACCACACAAGATGCATTCAGAATATTCCGAGAGGCGTCTTTGGGGTCTGAGTCTGGCTTCCGAGGCGACAGTATGTGGCACCGATGATGGACACGGTGCAGGAGCCGAGAGAAACATGAGAGACACATGAGAGAAACATGAGGGACGCATGAGACAGACATCGACAGAAAGATGCTTTGCAGAAGTCCCTGAGCAAAAGGGACCAATGTGACTCCCTGAGAAGCTCGCCTGGTGAGGATTTCGTGCTGGCTTTGAGATGCCCGAGCTCTGTTAGTCCACAGACGGTCCAGGCACGGTTGCAGCACGTTTGCAGCACATTTTGCACCACGTTTGCACCTTGAGTTGGCTGCAACATGTACCTGCTTGCGGGGGTTGATTTCTTGGAGGAAGGAGAGGTGTCTGACAGACTACAAGCGCTCCGAACCCGTGCACGCCACATCAGGCCTCAAGTACACTTCGCACGGCTCAGCACAAGCGGCCTTTGACAGGACCAAGCTTCTGATGGGATCTTCGGAGGAATCTCGGGTAAACGAGGGAGAAGACTGCGTACCAGACGATGCGTAGCCAGTTCATCTCTGCAAAGCAGGACTTTTATTACTGTAGGCAGGCACCAAATACGGCGAAGCTTCAACTTTAGCATTCGCACCTGCTTCTGGTTCGGGTTAGGGCCGCCAAAGGGCAGGAGCTCCTGAAACGCTTGGAGATGCATCATTGTAAACGCTTGCGCCCGCCTCGGCAGTCGGGCCCGCCCACAGGAAAGGACCGCCAAGAGCCGCCGACAGGCGGGACCCCTACGGCATCGGGTTGCAGCTCCTCCAAGCGAGGGGGGGGGTCCCACAGGGTTGGGGGGGTGGGGGTGCGTCACAAAGTTTGGCACGGAGGGAAGGGTTGGGTTAGGGGGAAGGAGACCGGATCCGTGTCTGCTTGTTCCAAACGCTTCTCGGCAGGAAGCTGAGGCGAATTTTAGTGCTGCAAGTGCCCATGCCCAGGGGCAACTCATGGATGAAGTGGCCATCATTGCCGATAGTTTCAGCCCGAGCCCGCATCCCAATCTCAATGCTGACGTCGTCCAGGCGGGAGCTGTAAGGGATTGAATGTTCTTGGCCTAAGAGGTTTGAGACATTGAGAAGCACGGAAGGCAAAGCTGGATGCCCTGCTCTACGACTCCGAGGCGTATGCCTGGCTCCACGACCGGCATGGGGCCCAGATGGGCCAAGCAGCCAGCTCGAAAAGCGAAAAGTCACAAGTGTTGCCGAAAGCATGGTCTTCTCGGACATGCGAAACTGTTGACCGGAGAAGTTGCAATGGCATTGAGAGAGTTTGCCGAGAGAGCGTTGACAGGTTCACCTTGCAGCCGCATGGACCAGTTGATGTGGAGAAGCACGCAATGATCTTCGTGAAGGCGAGAAGCTTCCCGAAGCCAGCAGTCAGGAACGGCACGACATGGATGTGCCACACAGGGTGTGGTGAAGAGTTTGTACAACGAGCACGTTCTCTCTTCAATAGAAGTCTTGGAAGCCACGCCCTCGGGTTCACCTTTGCGAGATTCGACGTGCTGCGGCGGTGGCGCAAAGGAAATCGAGAGCCGCGCGGACGAGATTTGCACCCTCGCCGAAGCTGCGCTCTCGCCTCGTTTCCATGTGTCCGATAGGACCTTTTGTCAGAGAGCCTTGTGCCAGGACCTCGAGCCTCTGACCGTGGCGCTGAAGCTACTGAGTCATCCAGGGCAGGGCCTTCCCAGGAGCGCGCTTCGCGCGGAGATTTTTTTGGGGTGTGCAGGTTAGGGAGTGCGCTTCTTCTTCCGTGCTCTTCCGGTGCTTTGCTTGCGCGCGGGGCGCGCGCTTCGCGAAGGACCGCCGCCAGCTTGGCATGCCTGGTGCTGAAGTTCCGAGATTCCGAGATTCCGAGATCTGAGATGGTGTCTGACTTGCCTGCTCTGTAACGTGTGCTCGGAACCCCGGCCGTTCCGCTCAGCCACTCGGCTCAAGAGGAAGAAAGGGAAAGCGCACAACTTGCAGACCGGAAAGGCAGGGAGCTGTGCGAAGTGGTGGGAGATGGCTGAGCGCGGAGAATTTCTTGCAGAGTGAGAGACGGGCGGGAGTTTCGGGAGTTTCTGGTGAGTTTCTGTGATGTGAGTTTCTGGGTGTTTGGCTTCAATTGCGTGAGGCCACAACCGGAGCAATGAGCCTCCCACCGATGCCCGATAATGCCAGCACCTGAGCTTTGCCCAGGTTTCTGAAGCCCGAAGTTTCGAAGTTTCGAGAAGTTGCGAGAAGTTTCGAGAGGTTTCGAAGTGAGTTTCGAGAAGTTTCGAAGGTGCTGAACAGTGGCACTCCGGAGGGGACGTCCTCGACGCTGTCCATGTCAGAAGATGCATGGGACTTGCTGGGTCTGAGTGCTTCTGATGCCATGAATGACCGAGACTTACACATCAAGAACGGCCAGGTGTGCCTCTTGACAGGTGGAGATTACATGAATGCCAAGAGGAGGTATGCTTTGGACAATCGTGAAGCCCAAAGGGCACAATGGCGACAGCAAGCGGAGCAGCGCTTGGCCAAGGCACGGCGCAAACGTAAGTGTAAGTGTGTAAGACTGTCCAAGCGTGTAGGTGTGTAGGTGTGTAAGTGTCTAAGTGTCTAAGTGTGTAAGTGTCTAAGTGTGTAGGTGTGTGGGTGTGTGGGTGTCAGTGTGTGACAGTGTGTGAGTGTGCATGTGTGTGCATGCGTGCTCTTCCTGATTCTACTGGACATTTCACATCTTAAGACCCCTTGGATCTTTCTGCTCCGGAGGTGTTTGCTGCCCTCCCTCTCTCCCGTCAGGCCGAGTCTCGGCGTGGGGGCATTGAGAAGGCCGCGGCCGAGGGTGGTGTGATGAAGACCCAGAAGTTCACCTGGAGTAAGGATGGAGCCAAGTCCTTCGAATGGCGGAAGATCTATCACGCTCTAGTGGGCAACGTGGGTCCTGGCGAAGGTGGTTTGCTAGCAGAGGCACTGATCACCCCTACCTCCATGCGGCACCTCGGCATATCTCGGCATGTCCACAGTTGCACATGTGAGTGTTTCAAGACTTCGTGGTGGCAACAAGCATCTTGGGTATCCCTGTAGCGGTAGTTCACAGGGTCACGAGTTCAGCAGACTTCTCCTTGCATTCTGCCAGGCGCCTGACATCTCTGTGAGAGATCTCTTTGTGCATTTGTCCATGGTTTGTCTGCTAAGATCTGCTAAGGATGTATACCGACCATCGAGTTATGGGCCAGGTGGTGTTGCCTGGAGTGTCGCACGTATCCCTCATGGCTGCAACTGCGTCTCAGGGCTTCCCGAACCCTGGGGGTGGCTTGGGTGATTGGCACATCAGTGTCAAGGAGGTTCTCTTCGAGCGGCCGTACATTGTCCACTCTGGCGCTGAGCTCATTGCCGCCATAGCCAATGGTGTAGACCCATCGACTGTTCAGGCCATGGCTGGTGGACTTCCCATTCCCATGACTCCCGTCGGTGTGCCAACCACATACTGCCGTGCCACCAACGTTACCAAGGAGCGTGGCATTGTGAAGTCTACGCTGGACTGGGCCAAGTAAAGAAGCAGAGCGTGAAGTGCACCGATGCCCTGGAGCATCACTGTATGATGGGCTGGTTCTTCCTGTGGCACGCTGAAAGCGGGCCAGTGATATGCAGACAGTGGCCACACGATCAAAGAAAAGGAGCAATCTTGCAGGGAATGTGCATGTTGCAAGTCGCGCACGACTCTTCCATGCGGATGCTCCGCCGTGCTGAGGCATACACTCCTGGCAGGCTCGTGTGGCGCACTACTTGGCGCACAGGCTGGATGGCTCGATGTTGGGTCCGTGCCCCACTCACAAAGTGCTGAACCATGCGGATTGGTGGGGGGGGGGTGGGGGAGGAATGATCTCAAGGCTCGCGGGTGACTCTGACAGATCTCATCCAGGGCGTGCACGACGGAGGGGTTTCCAAGGCGCATCTGCCCCTTGTCTCGGCTCGGCTCGTCTCGGCTCGTCTTCGTCTCGGCTCATTCTTGCTGCCGAAGTTGCGAAGGAGACCTCTGAAGTCTTTGAAGACATCTTGTCCGAGCCTTTCTTTTTGATCATTCCGAAAGAAGTCTTCAAAAGACTACTCTGTGCAAGCCTCAGGGCATTCCTACTTCACCTCCGACCAGCTAATCTCCAAGTGCCGTGGGAGCTGAAGGCGTCTGCACACCTTGCACAGCTTGCTTTCTCATTCTGCCTTCGGGTATCTTCGGGTTATCTGTGCACACTTTTGAGACGCGCTGCAGAATTAATTGAACTAATTATGCGTTCTGCCAAAGGCCATCAAGAGCCAGTTGACCTCCACCGGGCTGTAGCGCAGCCGCAACGTATTTTGCAACGTATAATTGCTGACACCTCAGCATAGTTCATTGCTTTCATGCTCCAACTGCTCCAGGCTTGCTACCCGCCGTGGTAGCCTCAGAGCAAGAGCCAGAGTTCGTGAGATGCAACCAGACATGAAGACAGGCGGCGGTGACGGCAAGGACATCGTCAAGGCCAGCAAATGGTGTTCAGGGAACGCCGGGAACGCCGGGAACGCCTCTCAGTCTGACACAGGTGAGCTGTACTTTCACTGACAAGGTCATGCAGGCTGCCGGGATGCTGGGATCTGGGACCTGACTTGCGGCTTCAATCATCTCGTGCCCAGAGGCCCTGCTCGAAACTAAGCACCTGCGCGCGGACCTGGAAGACGAGGACCTAGGTCACGCCTGAGTTTGGAAAGTGATGCGCAAAGAGAGGAATCGAGCATGACAGCTTGTGAAGCTTTGCGAAGCTTTGTGAAGCGGTAAGCGATTTGAGATGGCATCTACCAAATCATGTTGCAAAACTCACTGTTGCAATGCTCGCACGCCGCGGAGGCAAGGGCTGCATGAGCATGGAGTACGCCGCCCTCCTGGCGCCGCTCGGCATATGGCATATGGGAGGGAAGGCAAAAAAGGAAAGAGGGAGAGAGGGAGAGAGGGAGAAGAGGGAGCGAGGGAGAAGATTGAGAGTAATCTCACTTGGCCGCCTACTGTAAACGCACGGTGTGCCAAACGCTGACAAGGCAAACCGAGCGGTTTGTTTGATTTGGGCTACTAGTCGGGAGTGTTTCGCCAGAGTTGCCGAAGGGACGGTCTGAATAAGAGGGCGGGAATCGCTGACGTACCGCTCAAGATAGGAGTGCACGCTTTTGCCGTCCTGCCCCAGTTTTTCCTCCAAAGTTCGACGGCACGCGAGAGGGCAAGGCTGCAGTTTTAGGGAGGAGCGATGAATTCGATACGGGCCTGAAGTCCAGCAAGAAGGAAAGAAAGAAGGAAAGAAAGAAGGAAAGAAAGAAGGAAAGAAAGAAGGAAAGAAAAAGGAAAGAAAGAAAGAAACATAAGAAGAAAGAAAGAAAAAGAAAGAAAGAGAGAGAGAGAGAGTGACCCCTTTTCAGCAAACTCTGAAGGGGGAACCAGAGACTGCTGCAGACCAAGGCTGAATTAGAGGGCGGGGTCACACGACGCAACATGAGATAGGCATGCGCGTTTTTCCTTGGCTGTGCCGGGGGAACCGAGCAACGTTTTGAGTTGTCCTTGTTGTATTGTAGGCGGGGGGGAAATGCTCTCCCGGGTATGTGTTTTCTTCGATCGGTTCCCATTTCACACCGATGAGACCCAGGAGATTTCGGGTGCGCCCAGCGCGCGGGGGTTCAGGGACTTCTGCCCTGTCCCTCATGCCCAGCAGAAGAAGAAGAGAGGGAGTGTAGAATGCACGTGTGTACTTGTGCCTCCTCGAGTCTCAGCGCCAAAGGAACCTCCTTTGCTGCGAGTCCGCTTCAACAAACCTCAAGGTGCGAGCGGTGCGAGAGCATTTGGAATCCCGAATTCCGAGGTGATTTCTGTGTGACCTTTCGTGCACCAAAAAGGGTGTCAGCAAACATTCCATTGTGTATCAAATTTGAGCCGGCAGGCCTGCGTCTGCAGACTGATCATCTCTGACGAGGCCCCAGAGGTGTGAGTGCAGGGTTCGGCTTCTGACAAGAATGAGGCAGCCCCCCCCCCCCCCCCAGAGCAGTCCACATGAGCGCACGGTCTCCTCACGAAAACAAACGTGCTCTGCTCTTCGGAGGCCATCGGCGAGAATGGCCAAGCAACGGTGCTGGCGGACGGTCTCATGCAACTGATATGGACAGGCATACCTCCGCCCGTGGAGTAGGGGTTAACATAGGGTTAACATGGAAATTGGGGCAGAGAGGTGCCTCCTTCCTTGTGACCTATGCCTGTGCGGCCTTGGTGAACCTTTGCCAAAGCCATGAAGCCCTGAGGCTCAGTGTCATCAGTGTCCCTCAGTGTTCCAGCTTCGGCTGAAGAGAGACCCCCCCCCTGCTCTTTGTGCTATCGCCGAGGTTGTTCGAAGTCATCTGATCCACAACGACATCATCCCGCTCTGCAAGCGCAACATACGGAAGTCAGATGTCTGTTCGTAGAACCACCTTGGACAAGGTTTTGATCTCCGGCCTATTCTTTTAGACTTGCAGGACGTATGATGATGACCTTGCGCTCTACTCGCTCATGGTGCTGGCCCGCGAATGTGAGAGACGACATGGGAACTATGGGAACAATAGCTCGTACTGCCAGTAACTTCGCATTGCTCCCCGGTTCAATTCAGGGCCAGCTGACGAAGAGATCCAATCATCGTGCTTCCGTGGAGAAGCACGGCCCCTCGCTCAGACTGGGCTCCATGGCTTCATGCACCTGTGCAGGGATTTTAAAGTCACCGAAGTGCGAGACCTCAGCAAAAACTCTTTCTTCCTACCTTCTTTTCAAATCTCTTTTCAAGAGTGCTACAGTTTCTGCAGGTAAGGGACTCAACGCATCCTGTGTTGGGTGTTGGTACCTTGGTCGGGCATCTTGTAGTCATTGTCAGGCAGGTCTCCAATCGGGAATCGTCTTGTCAATCCACGAAGACACTGGAACACTCAAAGGCGCACTTGCATCACACCGCTAGTCTTCGGTTTCTGAGTCTTGCTTCGTGCCAATAAACCTAGACCCGTCATGAGTGAATGTCAAAAATTGACCAGACATTCCGCGGTCTCCAATTCCACGAATCGCAGCGATTTTGGTTTCCACAAGGTTCGGTGGTTTCAGAAGCAACGCTGGCGAAAGATTGCGAAAGCTCTGGGACCGCGTGAGCCACGCGCGCATGCTTTGCTTTGCTCTTCCCAGCTGGGGTCCGTGTGCGTTCTTGCAAACCCCGGAGGTTCCTCTTGAGTCTCCCCGCCCTCCCACAAAGTTTCGGCCCAGGGCTGCTGGAGCTTTGCATCGGCTTCCTTCAATTACTCCAGCACCAGGCAGAAACCAGGCAGAGGGTCTCAGAGGGCCTCAGAGTCTCCCCAGTTTTCGCCCTTTTTCATCTTTTCGCTTTTTCCCAAGATCGCTCTCTCTCTCTCTCTCCCTCTCTCTCTCTCCCTCTCTCTCTCTCTCCCTCTCTCTCTCTCCCTCTCTCTCTCTCTCGCTCTCGCTCTCTTTCCAGTTGTGCCCTCTCACACGAGAGGTGGCGCGTGCTGGCGGAGCTGTGCAACATATTGGGACAGCTTTGCATCGCTGCGAGCCCAGCATGCTGAGCCCAGCCACTGAGGTAATTGTAAACGCTTGCGCGTGCCGCCTCGACAGCCCGGCCGGTTCCAGGACAGGAAAGGAGGAAAGAGGGCAGAGGGGTTAAAGGGTGGGGCGGTGGGGGGTGGGGGGGGGTTTGGTGGGGGAGCGGGGTGGGGGTGGTCGGGTGGGAGGGGTGGTGGGGTTGGGGGGGGTTGGGGGGTGGGGTGTGGTGGGGGGGGTGGGGGGGGGTGGGGGCGGGGGGGGGGTGGGGGGGTGGAGCTCCCCCTGAGGGGGGGTGGCGTCAGGAAATCTTGCATGGGGGAAGGGTTAGGGGGAAGGAGGCCCGATCCGGGTCTGCTTGTTCCAGACGCTTCTCGGCAGGAAGCCGAGGCGAATAAGCAGTTGTGTTTTGCAGCCTGCGGCCTTGATCAGTCCACAGTTGGAGTCGTCTTCTCACACTGTCAAGGACGAGGGCCCGAGGAACACCGCAATGGCACCGGACAACAAGGCCGATGCTCACAGGAGCCAAGCACAGTGCTGCGCTGCTCCTTGTGAAGTGCAATGACGTGCAAATTCAATTTCGGTTCTGTGGCCAGGTCTATGATTCCCTGATGGTACTCATGGAGTCCTCCATGTCCAAAGGTGCTATGGCGGCTTCTTGTGTTCCCGTGTCACGCCCGAGGGATGATGCATCGGTAAAACATCGGTTTGAGGTCTATCGCCGATGCCCGACTGGGGTCTAAAACTCCAGAGCAAGGCAACAGCACTCCGAAGCATTTCTTGCTGGTGCTGTTGTACTTTGCATGGTGCATGTCATGGACAGGGTGTGAGCACCGATTCAGGTGTTACTGGCGTTGCGCTCGATCTGCCACGGGCTGCGCAGAGATCAGGCCGGTGATCATGTTTTTTGTCGATGCTTGTTCTTGTTAGTGTGCAGGAAGAAGGGAAGGAAGAGAGAACGAGCTCCCTTTCGGGGGGCCAGGAGAGTGAGAGAGTGAGCATCCGGCTTGGGTAAATCCGGCAGTTCTCTGGGCGGCTTCCGCTGGGTTTTGTTAGTGCGGGAAAGAAGGAAGGGAGATTCGTTGGGGGGGTGGGGGGTGGGCAAGAGCTGCCAAAAAAGGGGTCCCCCCATGCGACAGCGAGAAGGGTGCAATCCAAAGCCCACCGAGCCCCAGATACTGCGTGGAGGAGCAGCTGACAAAGCAGAAAACCAGGCATGAGTACTACGTTCTCTGTTGGTTGCAAACGCATCTCTTCTTCAGCCATGTTCATCCATCTTCAGCCCTTCAGGCTGCGTCTTTGAAGCACCCTAGTGAGTACAGCAGTGAGTACAGCAAAACTTAGGCCGTAGTTCCTTGCGAACGCAACTGAATGCACCCAGCACCTTGGGTCGTGCCGACTTTCGAGGGTTGCTCGCGGCGTCGCACAGGTTTGCGAACACCCCATCTTGCCAAAGCTCATCACTGCGTTGGGTGATCATGTCGGCTTCCACTTTTGCTGCTTTTTGCTGTTGTCTGATGTTGTCTGCAAGTTGCAGTTTGCAGTGGAAAGGACAACCTGGAAAATGCGGAGTGGCTGCAACAGGCACGCACGTAGACTTTCGGTTTGGGCCGGCAGATTCGCAACGACTCCTTCCGATTCCTGTCGATGCATTTGCCCGAGGCTGTGCTCCTTTTCTCAGTCATGAGCAACAGCAGGCAGATTGATCTAGATCCGATTCTGTCCCTTGATTATGAGACGGGTGCTGTGCAGGGACAAAGGCATCCCGGCGCTAAAGGCAGCTGGCTGGGAAAAGATCTATGGAGTCGTGGCCTCAAATCTGCTGAAAGAGAGGAGCGTAACATGAAAGAAAGCGAAGGTGATGAGCTCCTGCCCAGCTGCCGCTGCTCGGGATGCTCTCCGTGACAGGATGCCTCTTCGAGCCTCTATGATCCTGCCCAATGCGTCGAGTCCTTCATAGTTCTTCGCCCACCTTGAAGTCACCTTGAGACGTGTGTTGCAGGATGCTGGCCATCAACAACAGCATCGCTGGTCAGAGCAAGTAGTGTGAGACATTTTCCATCTGTGCATATGCTCTCCCGACCAAAGATGGTACATGGGCCAAAGTGCTCAACGTGTCTTGAGGTTGTGTACAAAGTCAGTAGTGTTGCAAGGACTGGAACAACCAGTCTTTTGACATGTCGTGCAGTGTAGCAGCTCAATGTGCCCCCTTGCCAGCCCCGACCTCTGTCCACCATCTGCATGCATCTGCATGCGTCTCCTCGCATCTGCTTGCATCTGAACTGTCATAAACCCATTGCGAAGCCTTTGAGGCCCTGAGAGTCCACTGAAAGGCGCAGTTGTGCCTCCCTAGCTTACTTAGACAGAGAGCACGTCTGCACCAAGACCCACCTGAACACCTCTCCCCCGACACGCACTACATAGAGGCTGAGACCAGCGAGAGACACGGAGAGTTCGAGAGTTCTTCTCTGGATTTCTACGCTATTCTTAATTGGTTATACGAGAGCACGAGGGCCGGGACCCGAGCCGAAGACACGGGGGGTCCCTCCGGCCCACGGCTCCTCCGAGTCGAGGAGAGAGTTCTCTGCGAGATGAGAGTTCTGAGTGGAGCACATTGAGAGCTCAGAGCTTGAATTATTCTTTTTTTGGTTATTCTTTATTGCATGTTATTTCGGGGGGGGGGGGGGGTTTGGCTGTTCATGGCTGTTCGAAGGAGGCCCCGAAGCCGAGAGACAAGCGAGATGCCCCTCTACGAGGCCGAGAGCGCCTGCCTTGCTTGGGGTGGGCACAAGTTCGACACAATGTCGCGCAATGCAACGAGGAGAAGTTCATGTGCCCGTTCTCCATCCGATTCTCACAAGCTCGAATACGGCCCACATTCCAGGTCCGGGCTTTTGGCTTTCCTATTGCTGCTATATCCCCTGAGCTCTCCACATTTTGAGCTTTGAGGATGGAAGGGAGGTAGAGGCATCCATGGAGCAGATCGCTGTGACACCCCCAGGGCTGCTGGTTGCTGCTGGTTGCTGCTTGCTGCCTTCTTTGGAGAAGTCTTTGTGTTGGCCCTCTGCTGTGTCGCAAGAGGCTGTCTCGTGTCCAGAAGGACCTCTACAACAGAGATATGACGTCCTGCTGAGGCCACGTTTCCTTAGAGCCCCGGCATCAAATGTCTCTCTGAGTCAGCCAGGGCACCTTTTCCACCAATCGAGATCATCCGATGGTGGCCGAAGCTGCGTGAGGAGGAGCGGTTGGGGCTGTACAGTTGTGGCTGATGTGACGCTGTGACGCTGTGACGCTGTGCCGGAGCCCAGGATGGTGAGACACTCCTGGACGAGAACGGGAAGACCATCCTAGGCCCGGCATCTGAAGATCCCCCCGAGACAGGGCAGAGCGGGGTTTTCAGAGAGAGGGAGGTTGCAGTTGTTGGTCTCTTTCGGATGAGACCGAGGTGAATTGTGTGTCGCTAAGGGAGTAAGGAAGCGGCGAGGGCACTTGCCCTCGCTACAAGTGCTTAGAGAAGCTGAGGGAAATAATCCACAGTAGCGTCCGAGAGAGAGAGAGAGAGAGAGAGGGAGCGAGCGAGCGAGGGAGGGAGGGAGGGAGGGAGGGCGCGCTTGGAGGCTGGCGTTTGGGTCAGCTGACTTGAGGGCGAGGGAGGTTGACTTCGGAAGCTTGTGACAAGCATGGTGGGGGCTGGGATTGTGGGAGGTGGTCTGGTTGTTGGGGGGTAACTTTACTTTGGACAGGTTGCGCGGGGTCGCACCTGCAATGGTGTCGCATCGACTAACTTGGTGTGGCGCGCGGGGGCCACGCGTACTGGAAGGAAAGGAAGGGAAGGAAGGGAAGGTGTTCCGGATCGCCGGCAATTTCCCTGGACCCAAGAAAGCAAAGATGTATGTCTGTATGTATGAAGTTATGTATGTATGTATGTATGTATGTATGTATGTATGTATGTATGTATGTATGTATGTATGTATGTATGTATGTATGTATGTGTGTGTGTGTATGTATGTATGTATGTATATATATATATTATATGTACATATATAAAGAGCATAGGGAGAAAGAGAGCGAGACCGAGAGATCAGCCAGAAGAAGAAGAAGAAGAAGAAGAAGAAGAAGAAGAAGAAGAAGAAGAAGAAGAAGAAGAAGAAGAAGAAGAAGAAGAAGAAGAAGAAGAAGAAGAAGAAGAATAATAAGAAGAAGAAGAAGAAAAGAAGAAGCATAAGCACAAGAAGAATCATAATGAGAAGAAGACGAAGAGGAAGAAGAAGATTAAGGACAAGAAGAAGACGAAGAAAGAAGACGAAGAAAGAAGAAAGAAGAAAGAAGAAAGAAGAAAGAAGAAAGAAGAAAGAAGAAAGAAGAAAGAAGAAAGAATAAAGAAGAAAGAATAAAGAAGAAAGAAGAAAGAAGAAAGAAGAAAGAAGAAATAATAAAGCAGAAAGAAGAAAGAAGACAGAAGAAAGAAGAAAGAAGAAATAAGAAAGAAGAAAGAAGAAAGAAGAAAGAAGAAAGAAGAAATAATAAAGCAGAAAGAAGAAAGAAGACAGAAGAAAGAAGAAAGAAGAAATAAGAAAGAAGAAAGAAGAAAGAAGAAAGAAGAAAGAAAAAAGAAGAAAGAAGAAAGAAGAAAGAATGAAGAAAAAAGAAGAAGGAATAAATAGGAAATAATGAATAGGAAATAGAAAAGAACAAACAAATAATGAAAAAAGGAGAAAGAAGAATGAATAAACGATAAAGATGAAAGAAGAAAGAGAAGATCATAAGTAGAAAGAATAAAGAATATCAATAATCAGAATAAGAAGAATACAAACATAAGAAGAAGAAGAAGCAGAAGAATAATAGTAATAAGAAGAGGAAGCAGAGTCAGAAGGATAGACACAACAAACGTAAGAATCAAAATAAGAAGAAGAAGAAGACGAAGCAGAAGCAACATCTAATAATATGAAACAGCAGAAGCAGAAGCAGAAGCAGAAGCAGAAGCAGAAGCAGAAGCAGAAGCAGAAGCAGAAGCAGAAGCAGAAGCAGAAGCAGAAGCAGAAGCAGAAGCAGAAGCAGAAGAAGCAGAAGCAGAAGCAGAAGCAGAAGCAGAAGAAGCAGAAGCAGAAGAAGCAGAAGAAGCAGAAGAAGCAGAAGAAGCAGAAGCAGAAGCAGAAGCAGAAGCAGAAGCAGAAGCAGAAGCAGAAGCAGAAGCAGAAGCAGAAGCAGAAGCAGAAGCAGAAGCAGAAGCAGTTGCAGAAGCAGAATAAGAATCGTAACAATCAGACAAAGAAACGGAAGACAGCTCGAAAGAATGAAGCGCAGAAAGGCAGCCACAGAGCTCCGGCTTCCGGAAAAGTAAGAGCCCAGCACAGCACAACAGCACAACAGCACAAGTGCCTTGCCATCAGGAGAGCCATGTTGGTTCACGTTCGACAACCGGAGGCTATACTGCCTTCAGGCGCAAGAGTTCAGCTGCCCCATTCTCAAGGCACAGCAGCGTTTTGCTTGGCTGAAAACCTGAGGCAGCAGCTATCAAGAACTGGCCATCTCGGTCGGCCGCGGTGGTGCATGTCATGCATGATCTGCCAGTGCGGGGCTGAAGTACCTAGAAATAAACTGCTGCGGGCCACCTGCTGTCAGTGTCCTGTAAGGTGTCCAAGTGTGCGCCCAAGAAGTTCCGCACCACTGACCTAGGCCAGCACCACACCCCGGATCAAAAACACTCTAAAGCCCTTGCCCATCTCCCCCCCCCATGCCAGGCTGCTCTGTGCGCATCTCACGTCGTGATGACGTGGTGCCGAAAGCCACCTGGACTTGGATGGAGGCAAAGTGGCCAAGATTCGGCCATGGTGTCCTCTGAGAGCAGAGAGGGTTTAGCGGCTTTAGCGCGTGTCGGTACGTTCATTGCCGCAGAAGACCCTTGGTGCACTTCAAGCTTCAGGTTGACGAATCCACAGCAAGACAGCAAGGGCACAGCAAGAAGAGCATGCAATTTGTAAGAACATTCACAGAACCCACCGTGACCAGGATGTGCAGTGGCAGCCAAACAGTGTGAGTAGCTATGTCTCCACATGGATGCTCCAGCTTGTGCGCATGCTGCAGCTGCATGCGGGAGGAGGACTTGAATTCTCTGACTCTCGCTGCTTAAAGGTGGTGTGAGGGTGGTCCCCAAGTAATGTGAACGAACCGTACGAACCCTTTCTAAGTTTGCAAAGTTCGGAACAGCTTCAGTCGAGCTCTTCTTGGGGGGAAGGCTTCTTTCAGACTCCAAAGGGGAAAACCAATATAAACAAAACCGGTTGCGGGCAACGTCGACAGAGCACCACACCCTGAGGCCAAAAGCCGCGCGACCCAAGACACAAGCATTTTCAGATCAGATGTCGCGTGTCTGTGCAAAGCAGATGTGAAAAGCAGCACCGTGGCTCTTGTGCAAATCCATGATCCAACGGGCGACGGCCTGGAAAAACTTTTCGGAAAGGACTCTGCTGTTCTCCAGCCTTGCCGGCATGCCGAGGCACCCTGGAGGCTTTTGAGCCAGGCCTTGCGCCTTGCGCCTTGCGCCTTGCGCCTTGCGCCTTGCGCCTTGCGCATTTGCCCTCAGGCCATGCCAGGCCGTCCCACCGGGCCGCCTGGGATGCCTCTTCAAAGCGGGATGGCCTGGCTGCAGCCTTCGGCTTCTGCGCCATCGGGGCCAGGCACTCGAGGCCCTCGAGGCCTTCGAGGTCCGCCGCTTAATTGCCCCAACTGGCACGTAGTGGCACCATCTTTGCAGAGCCGCATGCATTGGTCACATGCGTTTAAAAGCACTTTTCCTAGTCTCAGTCTTTTTGTTGTCTTGGGAGCTCAGTCCCAGGACCCAGTGCCAGGCGAAGAACAAGGCAAGTCCCGGCCTCTGGGCACTTGGCAGATGAGCCCCGCGTAGTCGGGTAGAACGTTAGAACGTATGAAGGCTCCCCCAACGCAGGCAGAGGCGTAAGTCTTCGGGCTTGGCGGCTTGGCACATGTGTGCGAACAGTTCACATTTTTTCGATGTTGTCCCATGTTTTTTCCCTGCAATACCATGCTGACCTGTGAGGGCAAGAAAGGGAGAGGACCAACTTTGGCAGACATTGAAGCAAGGCGGGGTATCCCGGGAATTCTTGAGTTGCCCGCGTCGCTGCACTTTGCCCCACTGCCATGCTGCTGCCAGGCTTCGTGAGCGCAAGCGGCGACGCCCTGCCCCGAGTCATTCTACCGCCTTGTGGAATGTCCTGGCATCCACGCCTTCGGAAGGGACAGCCTAGTTTTGAACTTCCGTTTTGTCCAACCCTGCTCTTTCAGGCCATGCAATCTTGCTTCGGAGAATGTCGTGCCTAAATGTCGTTTCTTCAACACCGTTGTGAAGCCAAACCTCCCAGCTTTTGAAGCCGTGCAAGCTTGCTTCCAGGGCCTCATGCCCCTGGAGGGGTTCCTTCGAAAAGGACAGAAATCCGTAAGTTACAGAAGTGGGTTTGCGCATGGAGTCCACCCATGGGCGGGGTGGCGTCTGCCCGTGTTTCAAAAAACTTCTGCCCACCCCCCATCATTGCAAAGCACACGAATCTGGTAGTTGTACGGGCGTTGTGTTTGCAACTGGGGGCAGCCGTGCCCTCCACCAACCCCTAGCCCATATGCCATATGATCTAGTTGTAAATGCTCGGTGCAAGCGGTGCCAGTCCGCACGGGCTGCAGATGCAGAAAGGTCGAGGCAAAGGACGCCGGAGAGACGCGGACCCGAAAACCCGAAACCTTGAGAACCAGCAGCGTAAGCTTAGCGTAAGCTTGGGGGACTTAAAGGCTTGCTGGAGGACCCTTGAAGCCTTGTTTGCCTTGGCGAGAAAGCCTTACAATATCAACAGGCTGTGCAACACCTACAGTGGGCTTGTTGGTGCACGTGGGCTTGTTACCGAGGGAATCGGCCTCCAGACGTGTTCCAGAGGGCTCCAGAGATGTTCCAGTGGGTTTTTCGAGGAGTCCCAGTCCGGACATGTGCAGGGCATTGCAGGGCTTCAACGCTCAAAGGCAATTTTCCACCGACCGCACGTGAATTTTGCAGCTCCCGCGTGGGCTGGGGGTGGCGCGGGGTTGGGCAAGGGGTCGTTAGAGGTATTCGAAGGACTGGTGGATGAAAATGGAGGAAACAAGGGTGTTTATGACAGAATAAATGTGCCTCCCAGTCAAACAAACAACAAATGAAACAAATCAGGGAGCAAGCGCCCATTTGAAAGCCAGAGGCGAGTCTTTGAAGAGGAAGGAGGCACGGAATGAGCACCAGCTTTCACACGAGCTTCCATGAGCTCAACTCCCAAACTGCCACCAGAAGAAACAAAGACCTGTTCCGCACAGGAACTCGCCGTTTCGAACTCACAGATGGAGGAGACAGAGGAGACCGAGGAGACAGAGGAGGCAGAGGAGGCAGAGGAGACAGAGGAGGAAGAGGCGGCTGCTTTGTTCTCGGATGCCTTGTTTTGAGAACCCCCACATTCTGTCATGCCCGCATTAGATGCACACTGAACTTGCGAGAAATGTCTGAGATTCTTTGCGAGGCTTGGGATGATTTTGGCCGTGCTACTGGGCGAGTAGTTGGAGGAGCCGAGCGTCACGGGCCGCATGCTTGCATCTGCTCATTGCCCGCCAAATCCCTTCAAAATGGGCGGATGATGGTGAATGGTCGAACGTGAGTCGCTGGCTGTCGGAGCCTTCTTTTGGATTCCCAGGCAAGTTCTCGTCAAGGTGACGGACAGCAACGAAGCGACAATCTGCCAGATTCCTAGAGGCAGACGGGCGCCCGACTCTCGGTGCGATGGCCTCTAAGCATTTCAGTCGCTGCTCTTGATGGTGCTACAGTGTGGCTACGAGGCCGAAGCTGCAACCCATCGTGGGTGATGAGGTGAGTGGGGGGCCAAAGATGAGATGTTGCTGCAAGCCGGTGTTGGTGGCCCTTGGTGTGTCGATTCTGCGTAGCCTCTTGGGTGTGGAGGCACGTTGTGAAAAGATGTGAAAAGGTTGCGGCATCGGATCCGAGGCATCGTCTTCACGGCCGCAGCCGGAGATGCCGAGGCGGGGACCGGCTCCTTAACGCGGGGAGTCCTGCAGAGGCCTGCAGAGGCCTGCGGAGGCCTGCGTTGAAGAGTGTCAGTCGCTTCAGCTCATCTCACAGTCGCAGCTCGACTATTGACTCGGCGCTTCTGTTGAAGTGACATCCAAAGAGTTTGGCAGGCTGTCGTCGAGGAGGCGCTGGGGGTGAAAGACAAGTCGTGAGATCTCGTGAGTCTGTGTTAGAATGGGAGGGGTGAAGGCAGGGCATGTGAGGCATGCGAGGCATGCGAGGCATGCGAGGCTCGAGGCTCGGGAGAGGTTTCATGGCAGGTGCTCCCTCGGAAGTCCACGCTGGTCCGGCGGCGCGCGGGCACTCCGCAAGCCCAGGTGCTGTGTGCCAACCTGGACCTGGCGCTGCTGGTGCTGAGCCTGGAGCCCAACTTCGCCGAGGCGCAGACGGAGTTTAGAAGCAACAGCAATGGAGTTCAATGGAGCAAAGCAAAGAGGAGCAGAAGAGGAGCACAAGCAGGAAGGAAACAGAGAGAGAGAGCGGTGTCCGAGAGCCTCTTCCTCCGCTCTCAGGGCATGGTGGACCGGGTCCTGGTGTCGGCACACGCGCAGGGCTTAGAGGTGGCCATCGTGCTCAACAAGGCGCCGAGCTGAGCTGTGGGGGTGGCACGGAACTGTGCGGTATGGCGTATATGGAGTGGCATGTCTCATGATTTCGATCACATGTCTGTGCTGATGACGGAGATGAGCTCTCTGTTCCCCTGCTCTTCCGCTGCTCTTCTGCCACTCTTTCGCCTCTTAGCGACTCTTTGGCCTCTTTAGGTGGACCTCCTGGAGCCCTCCCAGCGAGACGAGGCGCAGCTCGTGTGCCAAAGGCCTCCCGTTTCTCCTCCGGTCCTAAACCCTTGTTGGCCCCTTCGCTCCTGGGGCATGCGGATCACAAAAGACAGTTAGGATCAGGCAAGAAGCTTACTCAGGAGCAGCTAAAAGCTTACTGCTGCGCTAGTCTTCAGGCCGGCAGGCCGTAAAGAGCCTATGTTGATAATTCTGTTTGCAGCGTACAGGCCAAAACCCTGAAATGCTCAAACCAGCCTTAGGTCCAAACAAAACAAGGTTGCAGCGCGGGACGTAAGCTATGGACATGAACATCACCTTACCTTAGGAGCCCCAAGTGAGGCAATCTCTGGCGGTTTCTGAGTTGTTTTTTTTTGGTGTGCTAGGCTCATTTTTGGGGCACCTTGTCGGTCCGTCTGCTGCGCGCTTGCTTGTTTCGCGGACCGACAAGGCTCGGACGCCCTAATGCAGACAAGTGCTTGTCCCAGCAACGACATGCCCTGCGGTGTAAGTCTCCGAGGCGTCGTCGTGAGTCTCCCCCCCTCTTGGGGCTTTGCAAGAGTACATCACAATGCCCGTCTTATGCTTCCCATCCCGGCATAGCAGCATTTTTATTCGCGAGGGCTGGGCACGTGCTGCGGTGCTGGGGGAAACCATCCTGCATGGCAGCATGAGGCAGCAAGTCCTGTGGAAGGCTGAGGCGGGTGGAGGGCTCGGAGCCAGCGCAGGCCTCGGCATCGCACCTTTCTCATGCTCGGGCGAAGGAATGCTACCAGGGAGGACACTGCGCAAGGTGTCAAGTTTCTCGGCCAGTGGTGTTGCGGCAGAGTGATCTGGCAGATTGCGCGCTATACTGCACGTGCCACCTCCTTTGGTTTCAGTCAGTTCCGGCTCGGGTGAGTGAAGCCGTTCCCTCCGACAGGCTGTTCGGGTTAGTCACCTCCGGCCACCGCCTCCGCTTCGCTTGGGTTAGTCAAGCTCCTGTAGTCTGCCTTGGCCGTAGCCCCACTCCGTCGGCCCGATCTTTTGAGGGCATCATTTCGACGATTCGAGAGAGTCCTCTCATCGCTACGCTCCCGTTGCTTTCAATGCCGCGATGCGCTCGAGCCAACGCCGCCCTGAAGAGGTTCTGGCACCTGGCTGTTGGTAGTCCGAAGCAAGGATCGGCATTCTGTTTGCAAATGGAGGAGAGAAGGGGAGGCGGCTGCAAGGATACATGACGCTTTGACGGTGTCTTGCTTCACAAACCTGTCCTGTTCTTTTTCCAGCCCAGCATGCTAGCATTGTGATTTGTTTTCCACACCCGTCATACCAGCATTGTGTTTGTAATTCCGCCCCCCTAGCCCCCCGATTTTTAACCTTGCTAACTTGCTTTCAAGTGTCGCATGCTAGGCCGTGATTTGCTTCAAAACCCGTCTCGTTCTTCTTGAAACCCGTCATGCCAGTATTGTAAAAATGTAAACGCTTGCGCACGCCGCCTCGGCAGCTGGGTCAGCCCACGTCCCAAGGCCCAAGAACTGCGAAAAAACTTTCGCAGGTTTGGCAGGTTCATAAGGTTGTAGGGGATGTGTCAGGGAGGGTCCCAGGATGTTTTGAGGGGGGAGGGTTCAAAGAGTTCAAAGCAAGGTCCCAGGCGGGTTGCAGGAGGGGTTTCAGGAGAGGGGAGTCCCACAGAAAAAGCGTGGGGAGTTGGGAAGGGGGAAGGAGACCGGATCCTGGTCTGCTTGTAGACGCCCCGTGTGTTTCGCCACATTGCTGTATATTGCTGTAAGGCTACATCAGCCATCCTGGGGACTTGCTTTTGCAAGTCTATCATGCGCACCCCAGTCCCTCGCTCTTATTCAAAGCCCTGCAAGGCAGCTTGAACAAAAGTCGATCTCGAAGAGGTTTACGCACCAATATCTTTGGATCCCAAACATCTGCTTTGATCCCTTATCCGCACCGTGGCACGTGGCAGGTCGAGAGCCGCCTCGCCGTGTATGAGTCGGTGGGCTACAAGGCAAAGGGCGCCGAGTGCACCCCAAGCTGGCGCGGCGGCGCGGCGGCGCGGCGCTATTGTGTTCAGAGGTGCTCCTGGTCAGCGCGTTGGAGGGCGACAACATGGAGGAACTGCGCCAGCTACTCTGTGGGCGCCGGCCTCTCGGCCTCGTGCTGTGTGCTTCATCGTGATTCTGCGATTGATGCCGCGCTCAATGCCACGCTCTCGGCAAGCTTTCTCGCGGTGTGTCCAAGGCACGAGCATTCTCATCGGCAACAGCGGCGTGGGCAAGTCAGAACTGCTGAATGCGCTCGGTGAGGATCGGCTCGTGGACTTGTGTGGGTAGCTGTTTCTAGCTGCCTCTAGCTGTTTCTAGCTGCTTCTAGCTGCTTCTTTCAGAATATTTTTTCAGCCAGCAATCCAAGAGACTCGCCACGATCAGCATGGAATCTTGGATGCAGGGTCAAATTGCTGCAGCTGTCGGGGAGATCAGCGAGAGGCCTGAACAGCCTTGCTTCCCGCGCTTTCCGCCACTTTCTGCCGCTTTCTGTTACTTTCTGCCAGTTTCCGCTCAAGTTGAAAGACGACTTCAGGTTGAAGCTCGGGCGGCATGTCACAACGACCAGCACCCTGTGCCGGCCTCACGCATAGGGTCAGTGGGACCCTTGCTGCCCGCTGTTGCATGCCATGATTAAGTCTTCTCAGCAGCGAATCTAGAGGCGGCTTTCCATCCCCTTTGCCCTACAAGACTTGGTGTGCAGGGTGCTGCTTGGGTCGAAAGTGCATTTATGCCCCATGTATCCCCGTAGCTGGCAGTTTCATGACCATCTCCAGTTGCCCACGACGCTAAAGCAGCACGGCATACCATCCAAGAGTGATGAATCCCCTCAGCCTACCTGGCATTTAGTGTAGGTTTTGTTTAAACCAGCCTGTACCCTACAGTAGACCGGAGCTTGGCTTCTTTTTTGGCAGGACCAAGCCATGTAAAAGACCAGCTTTCCTTTTCATCTGCGAGTTTCTCGCAGTTGGCAATTGACCATTCCCTGCACTCCAAGCGACATGCTCGCAGCAGTCAACGATCCGCCAAACCATACTCAAGCTAAGCAGGAATTTAAAGATCCCCCAAAGCAGCTCAAAACACCTGTAGGCATCGGCTCCCGGGTGATGGAGAGCCAGCATACCTGATCGACTCGCCAGGCTCTGATAAAATAGGTTCTTTGATCAGAGTCAGCGCTCTGTCGCGTGCTGTTGCTATCGCATGTTGTCGCCAGGCGCCCGGAGGTTCAGCATCTGGGACGTGACCGCTGCCGAACTGAAGGTGACATAGCTTCTGGAAAGGGAGTCCGATTTCTCTCAGGATCCTTCGGGAGCTACGCTTGCTAGGAAGGATGGGTAGGAAGAAAGGAAAAGGGAAGGAAAAGGAAGGAAGAAGGAAAGAAGCAGGAAGGAAGAAGGAAGGAAGAAGGCAGGAAAGGAAGGAAGGAGGAGATAGAGAGAGACCGGAGCTGGGGATATGGTTGTTGTTGCGGCCGGATCATTTTGGTATGGAGAGCACGACGACAGAACGAAGAAAGAGGAAATAAAGAAATATTTATGGAAACAAGTTAAGAAATTTAGGAATAAGCAAAGGAAAGAAGTAATTAACTTCACGAACAAAGCAAGGATACAAAAACTACACGAGCAAAGGGAATAGCAAAAGGCACGAAAGAGGACAGGACCGAGGAAAGGACAGAGAGGGATGCCATCATCCCAAGCGCAAAGGACCATTTTCTGGAGTTCTTGCCGCTGGCGCAGAAGTGCAAGTTCTCCAACTGCAACCACCTCGAGGAGCGAACAAAAGAAAAGGGGGGGGGCTGGAGATGCGGGAGGGGACACGCCTGAGCTTACCGCCTTTTGCATGAAACCCGCGCTCTGAGCACAAATGCCTCTGAGCGCCCCCCCTCAGACTTGAGAGAGAAGCTGAGAAGCTGGCAAGAGAGGAGCCTGACTGCGCAGTCAAGGAGGCCCTGGAGGACTTGGAGAGGGGGGCGGAAAGGGGCTGGGGGGGAGAGCTCTGAGAGAAGATCGAAGGAGGGCCGCATCTCCCGGCAGCGCTACGACTCCTACGTCTCCATCCGACAGAGCTTGTTGGAAGGCACAGTTTTTTGGCAGTAGCTTGCAGTGGCCTTCAGTAGCTTGGGCTCTTCACATCTGAGTGTCCTCGATCGTGCTCGCTGTATCTCTTTCTGAATCGCAGGCCAGGAAGGTGTGAAGCTCCCGCCATGGCTTGGACCTCAATATTTCAATGGGCTCTGCAATTCATCGTGCCATCGTGCTACTCAGATTTGGGAGCTGAGGCAGCTGCTGACACAGCCAGAGTCATGAGATGTCGCGAGTAGCGTGTTCCTGCATGGAAAGAAGACGCCCGCTGCCGCTTTGCTGTGCTTTGCTGTGCTTTGCTGGGCTTTGCTTTGCTGTGCTTTGCTGGGCTTTTGCCATGTGGTTTGCCATGTGGTTTGCTGGATGGTAGGCAGCAGGCAAGATCGATCGAGAGTCTGAGGACCCTGGATCCTGTCAAGTTGGCGCAGCTTGGATTGTTGGGCCCCCCCCCCCCGCGGGTTAGATCAGTGGCTTGAGTGAACTTCCGAGACAGGACTACAGGAAGGCCATGGAGGCTATCTTCGCAGATGGCAACAAGGATTAACCCCTGCTGTTCTTTCAGATGCTCGCATATGCGGGTTATCCGTACTTTCTGCAGTGCTGCTCTCCCACATGAGGTGCTGCCCATGGCTGTTCAGGAGCACTGGTCAGAGCTCCTGGATGTCCCGGCCAATTTCACGCGCGAGTGCCTTCCCCAAATTTCTGGCGGGTCCTGGTGTGCAAGCTTGAGAAGCTTGAGCATGCTTCTGAGCGCGCTTTCTGAGCATGCTTCGTGAGCATGCTTTTTGAGCATGGTTTCTGAGCACGCTTGTGAGCATTGAGCGGTTCAGGGACGGTGGCGAAGACGAGGCGGGCCCGAGCAGCAATTGATGGGGAGGTAGGAGCAGGTGTTAAACTGAGAAGTCTCCGAGACGTTTCACATGGTGGACAGGAGTACCAGCCATACCGGCCGAAATTTGACGAGGAGTCCTTTTTGGCTCCTTGGGTCTTGTGGGATGGGAACTCGACGCTCGTGCAGGACGCAGAGTCCGCGGTCAACACCAGGACGGGTGAAGGCCAGTTGGGCGGGCTCTTGCAAGCTCCTTCTCCTTGGGAGGACTGCGCGGCGAATTCTGAAAGCTGGTGGCTGCCGCGTGAGTAGAGGTGGCGGGGCCCTCAGACCTTGACCCAAGATCGCTCTTGCTAGCTACCCTTGATTGTTTGTGATGTTGTGACACTTTCTTTCGGTCGCGAGGTACCGAGGCGCAGGCAGCAGCAGCCACAGCTGGACGCCCAGGATCTCAGGGCCTCAGCACGTTTCAACAACTTCGAGGTGCCAAACCAAGCAAACGACTATGCGGCTCTGCTCCCCATGGCATGTGTCGATTGAAGGTTGCTGCAGCTGCAGCGGCAGATGGGATCCGAGCTTCTGCTTTTTGGGGGGCACTGTTGCTTAAGATCTTCAGACCCCCAGCGGTAAGCAAAGCTCTCAAAGGCCGCGAAGGCATCCACCATGGTGTCCAAGCGCTCCAAAGAAGGCGGCAGGCCAGTGCCAGGGTCTTTTTTCTGCCAGAGCAGGAAAAAAAAACAAGATCGCAGTCGACGGTCCGCATTGTCCGTGAGGCCTGATGAGGCGTCGGCTCAGGACCGAGACGGCTCTGCATCGCCGCAAGATCCCCTCGTGTGTGATGGTTCCCCCAGGAGGCTGAGACGGCCGTGCAAGACACCGCTGCGCAAGACGCCGCTGCATGGTCTGGACTCCAGAATCAGAATCAGAATCGAGAGGAGCCGGTTTTTTCCCAATAGTAGAGGCAGAGTTTTTGCCGCCGAGGGATGCGATGATGTCCAGCCAGTTCTCTTCAGGCGCCTCAGCAGGCAAGCGTCAGAACTCGGCCCCCGCATCTCCCTTTCGTTTTGGGCCTCTTTTGGGCTTTGGGCTTTGGGGCTTACTCTTGCCCGATTACTGCATCGTGGTTCCTGTCTTTCCTTGTTTCGCTCCCTTCTTCCTTTTCTTCGTCTCTTCTTCTTGCTCTCGGCTTTCCCTTCCCCTTCTCTCTTGCCCGCCCCTTGCGTTCTTTGACAATGTCTTTGCTGACATAGATGCCTGTGGCTTGAGGGCCCTTCTCTAAACAGCAGAGCATACGTGCTCCTGGCCTTAGCCTCTTTATCCTCTTATTCTCTTGTTGAATCTCCCCCTCATCTCCTACCTCTCCTCCCCTCTAACGCTCTGAGGCTCCAAGGCCGCCGGGGCCGGCTACGACGGCACGGGTGCGCCTCCCCCTCAAACCTCACCCGAGAGCGCGGCGGTTCTGAGGGGTGCGGGGGGCTCTTATAAGGGGTTCTTAAGAGCTAGTGGAAGGCTGCCAAGAACGTGTTCCAGGGGCTCTGTCAGGCAGAGCAACTAGGCAGAGAGTGGAAGCGGATTCCAACAACAGCAGAGGCCGAAACTGAGGCAACTCTGGTGAGGCAACCGTTGATTGTCTCTTTTTCCGAGAAGAAATCTGATCCTGTGTTTGGGGTCTTTTTGGGTGAGCGTAGTTGTAGACGCTGGTGCGCCGCCTCGGCAGCGGAGGCGTGCACGTCACAGATACAGGCTCAAGGTCATCGGGGGTTCCAAGGGGTCCCAGGAGTGATTTCATCAAGGGGGAGGGGGGAGGCCGCAAATCTTGGATTGGGGGAAGGAGCCCAGATCTGGATCCTTTCCAGACGTGCTGAGGCGAATCAAAGATCCCTGAAGAGGGGCTTCCCCCCCGAGCGTTCTTTCCGATGTCAGGTGTTCCGGATCAGGGCGCCGCCCCATTTCAGAGTTGAGACGCTTTGGGATGAAGTGGGCGTAGTGCAAGTTTATGCGTTCGGAGTTGGGCACCGCGGCATGTAAATGCGGCATTGAGCTTGAAGGCTTCGACATTCGTCCCACTGAGTGAGCTGAAGCCCGACATCTCCATTGATTCCTGAAAATGCTTGCGACCCTCCGTCAATAACTCGTTTGAGTTTGGAAGTGGTAATCTTTGCACAAATTGCAGGTTCTTGTGTGGAGGTGTCTTCGTGTTTTTAAACGCTGGACAGACAATGCATATCATTACATCAGAAGCCGGTGCCAGGCTACTTCGAAGAGTCTGGGGAGTATGGAGACTTCGCCTCCATGTACCAGCTTGCTGCAGCAGCTGCTGCATACAACGGAGCTGCACAAGCCTCGCTGGCCTGGCAGTTCCAGCAACAGATGATGCAGAACATGAACATGAACATGCAGATGCAGCAACTCCAGCAGCAACAGCGCCTACAGCAACTTAGGGAGCAACGGGATCAGCGACTGCAGAAAGAGAAGGCGAAGAAGGCTTTGCTGGCATTGGCCAAATCGGCAGCTAAACCGGCAGCCAAGCCGGCAGCCAAGCCGGCAGCAGTGAAGGCGCCTGTGAAACGCGACCTGATCTCCGACGGCTCCCTTGGTATCGGGTCCACGTTGTTGAAGACAGTGAACGGTGGTGCTCTTGGTGCTGTGCACTCCAGCGAAGTCGGTGCCCTCTTGAAGGCAGCTGCTTCGACGCAGGCGCATCAACTTGCTTTTCGTGAGCACAACTGGGTTCAGAGCGCCACGGCACCACGGAAGGCAGCGAGTAGTACTGCAACACCATCCCCCGCGAGCTCGCCCGCCCGGCGTGTTCTTTGTCATCGCTGTTTGCAGAATGAAGTTGCAGGTTCATGCAGGTTAAAAACTGGCGAGACAGCTGTTTTGGTCCAGCACCCCGTTAAATTCTCCCCCCCCCCACTGATTCAAGCTGCTTTCCTCCACCTTTCGAGTTGCACCGCTCTCACTTTGGTTTTTTTGCTGGCCTCTTTTTTGTGGATATCGGATGCGGTGTTGAGACCACTGGATTCATTGGTTGCGGTGCGCCGCTGATGCCGGTAACTTGTAGAGAGGGAGACTCATGGATACACTTGCTGACGATGACTTTTTGTTGTTTTTGGCTGAATGCTTGACTATTCTTTTTGAGGCTTCAGACCTTCACTACCAGCTATCAGTGGCGAAGAGTGGTGTGACTGAAGTGCTGCCGTGCCTCCGATTCACTCGACAGGTGCTAGACACTGTCTGCTCCTGGCGGGCAACATGTGAATATCAATGCAACCATGCAAACGGTGCAAATAGTGCAAACAGTGCCATTCATGGCAACGTCCTAACATTGCCTAACAATGACAGCTCCTGCCACTGCCGTGAAGTCAGTTTGTTCCAGGGCTTGTGGTGCATCAAAAAGCATTGCTTGTGGTGCCAAGTGGTGCCAAGTGGTGCCAGGTCTTCCGCGGCTCTTTCGCAGCCGCCGGTGGATTCAAAAGCCTCGCACGAAACCTAGGTGGAACGGCACAAGCCCAGATGTGTTTTCTGGTCAGTTCCTTTTCCGAAGCACCTCGGAGTTGAGAGGAGTGTTGTGGTGTGTTGCGGTGTGTGTTGCGGTTTCAGTGGCCTCTTCTGGACCCAGGCAAGAGGATGACGTCGATTGCAATCAGCAATGACTCGGCAATGACTTGACTCTCCGTTTAGGAGGGTGGAGACCTCGAGAGTCTCTCGAGCCCTCAAGAAAAGCCCCTCTCTCGGAGTTAGGAGAAAGTTCGCAGAGAGCGGCTCGCGGCGCCGTGTTTGACCACCGGAGAAGGCTTGCAGGAGATCTCCCGCTTCGCAGAAGCGTTCTTATGTCATTTTTTCCAAGAAGCATTCTCCCGTTTTAGATACTTTAGATACGCACACGCCGTTCAAAGCAGAACCGCCTCCTCCTCCTCCTCCCCCCCCCCCCCCCCCCCCCCCCCCCCCCCCCCCCCCCCCCCCTCCGAAAGGAAGTCAAAGAGTGCTTGGATTTTGTGTGGTGAAGCCACGGAGGCGACTCCTGCAAGCGGATGTTGTGCTTCAGGAGGGTGGCACTCCAATCTGGAGTCCCTGGACAGACTCAGGAGCTTTTTGAGGGTTTCTGAAACTTTGTGAGTGCAAGGTACACCTTAACACGTTTCTGCCCCGAATTCGCAGAGAAAGGCCCTGTAGAAGAGCTGTGCGGCGGTGCAGCAGTAGCAGAAGAGCACGGCTTAAGCAATGTGCTCGACTGCTGGCCTGAAAAGAGGGAAGCAAGACTAGCAGACTAGCAAGACTAGCATCTGGCAAAAGTAGTGAAATTTAGTGCAATGAAGTGCAGAAATTTGGTGGGCGTTTAGCTATGCATGCTGAGAGGCGCCGCTGTTCGTACAATTCGATGCGTGGAACCAGACTTCCTTAACTGCTAGAGAATGCTGGAGTCATGCTTTTGAATATGGAGTGACGGGCCAAGCTAAAGGCTGCCCTGGACCAAAGCTTCAAGTACCTCGTCCAATGATTTTTTCATTTAAGTTCAAAATGGCACAACTTGTTTCGGCCGAGTTCAGCCTCCGACAGAAGATGCTTCTCTGAGGTACTGCGGCCGCGGAATCCTTGCATCACTCCCCATACAGGGTTGGCTCTTACAGTGAAAGCCTTAGCTTCATAACAATCTTTCGCATTTGTTTGAGACATGCGGGTGATGCTTCCGGAATGCATAGTTTTCCCGTGCTTGTCGTGCTGCCGCTGCGGCCGACGCGCACGCTGCGATCGCTTGCGGCCAAAGTGTCATTTGCAACCAAGGGCCCAACGGCAGAACAGCGCAGCGCCAGGTGCTGACATGACATCTGATATAACCCCCCCGATCTCCGCAAAGAAAGCTGTGATACAAAGAAAACAGCATCCCCACAAAAGCAGGGTCTGGGGCCGGTGCTGTATTTTAGTGCTTCATGCGCTGTGCATGCCGTACCTCCAGCGGTCGAAATGGCCATACTGTTGCAACTGGGGCCGGCTTCTCGGCATTCTCACCGTGGTGTCGATGTGCCATGGCTCATAGCACCACGGCTTCCACCCGGAGTCCTCTGAACTCTGAGTGGAGAAATCTTACAGAACTTGAGGGGAACTTGAGAGGATTGTTGGATAGCAGACAATGGTAGTCGAGGGAGAAGGTTTGGTCTTCCCGGAGGTGATGCCGCTTGTTGCGCATAGTTGTGCAATCTCTTGATGCAGCTCCCAGTGCCGCTAGTGCCGCTACTCCGAAAGGCTAGCTGTTTTGGCTGTACCCTGCACGTGGCTTTGCGGAAGCCATCCCAGGGCGCAGCGTCTCAAACAGTAGCGGGTGCGGACCAAGGAAAAAGGGGACTCTCTGCGCATCTCGGTCAGTATCTTTTTCGCCCCAAGGGCTCTTTTCAGCCATTTTGTGATGTGCGACTGCCCTTGGCCCCATTGGCCCCATTTGCCCCATTTGGCCCGAACCTTCCGATGCATTGGCACCCGGAGGCTCCCTGCGGCACTGTGAAGGGCGTTGTTGCGCACTGCTTCAGCAGAGGCGGATGCCGCCATGTCCTGATAGTGAACTTCATTGAGCTCAGACACCTACCTGAGCGCGGACAGGGAGGACTCTGCCGCTGTACGTTGTGCAGCGTTGTATTCAGCTTCGCCTCTTGTGGGTCTCGTGCCAGCCAGGATGGATTTGTTGTGTTGCTTCCCCAAGCTGGTGGATCCTGCCGAGACCTTCCTCTGTTGCCTGCCGCTGGGCGCGGGCGTGAAACTCCTGATGTGGCCTCACCTCGCGCTCACGCTCTACACCGTCGCTGCCGCACGCCCGGCGCACAATTGGAGCCTCATATTGGAACCTTGGAAATGGAGATATATTGTTGAATGCAACGTGTTTGTCTAATATGCCTATGTTTTGTCCTCGGACTGCCGGTCCATCTGGTGCGGCCCCTGCCAGGCCGTGGAGAACCTGATCGCCGGCGACCAAGGTGCTGCCCCCCAGCCTCCAAAAGCAGAGAGAGAGAGAGAGAGAGAGAGAGAACGTTTAAACAGTTTGCTACTCAAAGTACTGCACAAAGTACTGCACAAAGTACTGCTTCTCTTGAGAGAGGCTCTCCTGCCGCTTTCCATCTTACCGGTCTCTCTGCTCCTCTCTGCTCCTCTCTGCTGTTGCGCGCTAGGAGCGACCGGAACATCTCAAATGTTCGAGACCATCTGGTGCGTACCCGAGTCTCCACAACGGATGCTGTTTGTGGGGCGTTTTACCGTTCTTGTTCGTCGAGCGCCTTGGAGTGTCCTGTGGATCCTGTGGTTCCTCTCTGCAGGTCCCTGATCGGAGCCCGGTTGCCCAGTTCGAAGCTGTCGGGCACGGGCCTGGAAAGCACTCCTGAACATGTGCCCCATGCCATACCGGGGAGCGGAGCAACGAATGTTGAAGCATGAGACCTCGTGAGATCTCCTGAGACATCTGTTCGGGGTCTCTTGGTGACTTAGTGTTAGCCGCTGTTCGCCTAGGTCCCGATCATCGCTGCAGGGCTTTGGGGAGTTTACCACCGACTGGAGCCACATGTGGAGCCCTCACACGTAGTTTTGGCCCCGTTTCATCCTTGCTTAAGTGCCAGGTGCGGATGTACTGGTACTATCTCGTCATCAGCTTCCTGATCGATTTGGCGTGGGGCCCAGTGTGTGTGTGTGTGTGTGTGTGTGTGTGTGTGTGTGTGTGTGTGTGTGTGTGTGTGTGTGTGTGTGTGTGTGTGTGTGTGTGTGTCTGTGTCTGGAGCGCCAGCAGCAGGAGCAAGAGTAGGAGTCGGAGGAGGAGTAGGAGGAGGAGTAAGAGTAGGAGGAGGAGTAAGAGTAGGAGTAGGAGTAGGAGCAGGAGCAGGAGCAGGAGCAGGAGTAGGAGTAGGAGTAGCACCACCACCATGCACCGCCGCCGCCGCCGCCGCTACCGCTACCGCTACCGTGACCGCGACCGCTGCCGCTACCACTACGTATCGCTATACCGCTACCGCTACTGCTGCGCTATACCACTGAACAGCGATAATGCTACACCGCTGCACTTCCGTAATGCTAGACCGCTACCGCTAGACCGCTACCGCTAGACTGCTAGCGCTAGACCGCTACCGCCAGACCGCTACTGCAAAGCCGCTATACCGCTATATACCGCTTTTCCCGCTACCGCTACCGCTACCACTACCCCCACCGCTCCACTTCCACTTCCACTGAATCCGATGTCAGCCTACTTGACAAGACTTTTCCATCCTGCTCCGATGTTCACGACGTGCCTCTCGCATCCATTGCTGCAGAAAGAGCAAACATGAGCTTCCACGATCAAAGTGAGTTGCTCCTGTGAGTGCATCGAGGTCTATGTCGTCGAGATCTTCATCGCGCGCGACGCCTGTGCTCATTTGGCTCCTGAAGCCCGCTGCCGAGAGAGTGTCAAAAAGCATCTCAAAAGCATCTCTCTTTCTTCAAGTCTCCTACTGAGTCCTACTCAGTACTCGGAGTCTAGTCATTCGCTGGTTGTCTCAGGTCCAGGGCCGACAAGGTCAGGCCTTTGCCTGTGGCGTCGCCCGGGG